ACACACACACACACACACACACACACACACACACACACACACACACACACACACACACACGCACACACATATACACATACACATACACACACGCACACACACGCACACACACGCACACACATACACAGACACATGCATGCATGTGAGACGAAGGCGGGAGCCGTCAGTGTGTGCGATATAGGCTGTGTCGTGCCGAGGCAGACGTGAACTGACTGCGTGGTCCACGCTCTTGGTGTGCTTGCAGGTGAATGATAAGGACTCGGGGGTGAAGAGCTTCGAATGCAACACGGACGCTTACGAGAAGAATGTGTATCATTTTTGGGAGCGATATGAATCAGTCAGGGCAATGAACGATACTCACGCCGTGCCTGAATACCAGACGTTTATGGAAGAGGTGCTGCTGCTGCTGCTGCTGAGTTTCCCCTTTTTTTTTAAACACAGTGCTTTTTCCTTTCCCCACCTTGTTTTTTTTCCCCCCTACAGATTGATCACAATGCGGCAATCATGTTCCCAGTCATTCTGAATAGCAACAATGGCAAAGAACACAAAAACAGTAACTTAAAGGAAGGAATTTGTCACAAAAAAAAGAAAGAAGAAGGAAAAAAAAGAAAAAGAAAAAAAAAGAAAAAGAAAAAGAAAAAGAAAAAAAAAGAAAAAGACAAAGAAAAAAGAATGAGGGTATTTCTCCATCTTTTTAAAAGCAACGCCGACTCATTTGTTTGTGAAACGCTTTCGTTTCTTTCATCCTTTGCTGCCACCGCTTAGCATTACCAAAGGGATACTCATGCGCACTGGTATTTTCCTGGACGCATATGACCATTATTGCAGCCAGATTCAGTGCCAAATGTCCTACCTTTGGTCGCGCAAATGTAATGGCCCATCATCATGAAAGTATACGAACCCTGTTCCAGTCCAAGTACAGTCATGAATCATGATGCTGGGCAATTTCGGTCGCAGAAGAAGGTAGTACAAGCAAGTATAATTCCCTAACTGCTGTCTTCAAGTGTCTTGCCTTCTTATGCAATGCAGGCCGCCCCTTCCTTCGCAGGGGTGCACCTATGTGGCTCAATCTCTGCATTTCAGCTCTTTTCCTAGTCCGTTCTCTTTGTATCTATCTCCTCCTACTGTCGACTTGCTTCCCTCAAGTCCTCGTTGCCTGTAATCATGATCTCCTCTCTTGGTGACAGCAGATTTCTAACCGACAATCTCCGTGGCACCCAATTCTAACCATTGTACGATCTCCTTGGCACCTGATTCTAACCGCCGTACGATCTCCTTGGAACCCAATTCTAACCGCCTTACGATCTCCTAACCGCCGTACGATCTCCTTGGAACTCAATCCTAACTGCCGTACGATCTCCTTGACACCTGATTCTAACCGCCGTACGATCTCCTTGGCACCTGATTCTAACCGCGTACGATCTCCTTGGAACCCAATTCTAACTGCCTTACGATCTCCTAACTGCCTTACGATCTCCTAACTGCCTTACGATCTCCTAACTGCTGTACGATCTCCTTGGAACCCAATTCTAACCGCCATACGATCTCCTTGGCACCTGATTTTAACCGCCGTACGATCTGCTTGACACCTGATTCTAACCGCCGTACGATCTGCTTGACACCTGATTCTAACCGCCGTACGATCTCCTTGGAACTCAATTCTAGCCGCGCCGTACGATCTCCTTGGAACTCAATTCTAACCGCCATACAATCTCCTTGGCACCGGATTATAACCGCCTTATGATCTCCTGACAGCCTTACGATCTCCTTGGCAACCGCCTTGCAATCTCCTAACCGCCGTACAATCTCCTTGGCACTTGATTCTAACCGCCGTATGATCTCCTTGGCACCTGATTTTAACTGCCGTACGATCTGCTTGGCACCTGATTCTAACTGCCGTACGATCTCCTTGGAACTCAATTCTAGCCGCGCCGTACGATGTCCTTGGAACTCAATTCTAACCGGCGTACGATCTCCTTGGCACCGGATTATAACCGCCTTATGATTTCCTGACAGCCTTACGATCTCCTTGGCAACCGCCTTGCAATCTCCTAACCGCAATACAATCTCCTTGCCACTTGATTCTAACCGCCGCACGATCTCCTTGGCAGCCGATTATAACTGTCGTACGATCTCCTTGGCAGCCGATTATAACCGCCATACGATCTCCTTGGAACCCAATTCTAACTACCTTACAATCTCCTTGGCACCCGATTATAACTGCCTTACGGTTTCCTTGGTACCGGATTATAACTGCCATATGATCTCCTTCGTATTCGATTCTAACAGCCGTGTGATCTCCTTGGTAACCCAATTCTACTCGGTATGCAATCTCCTTGGTACCCGATTCTAACCGCTTTACGATCTCCTTGGGACCCTATTCACAAGATGGATCTCGCTCTCCTTATGGCCGTCATGATCAATCAATGAATGGCCTTCGTCCTCAAGCTTCCGCTTCATAATTCGTCTGCAACATTCCCCAACAGACTTGGTCGTCAGCAGACTCTTCGCTTAAACATGCGATCCCCCAGCTCGCCCATGTGTTTAGATATCTGTCTAGCTGTAGTAACCGATTGCGAGTTCGAAGTGTCAGACAGATCGGATGAATAACAATAATGTTAATGGGCCACCCTGCATTTACAGATAGACCAGCAATGAAATCAGAGTCTTCGTTTCAGTCTCAGCGAAGCTAGACTCTTCTTTCGAGTCTTGTTGTGACCCCCTTTTCATCTACCAACTGAGGCTGAGAACATGGTTAGTTAGACTTGCTTGTGTTTTGAGATTGGTACTTTTTGGACTGAATGTGGCCATAATTGTGTAGAAATACATCCAGGAAAATCCTACTGTCAGGCTGGGGATAACCTCGGTCAGGTACGCATCCAGGAAAGTTGGAGGTTTGGCTGAATCTCGCTGGCGATAATATATGTCAAGTACATTACATCCAAGAATTCAAAGTCCCATGCATGTGTGTGTGTTTGTGTATGCATGGATGCATGCATGTATGCATGTATGTATGCATGCATGCATCCATGCATGTATGCATGTAACGCATGCATGTACCTATGCATGTACGTATGCATGTACGTATGCATATATTGTACGCATGTAGTATGCATGTAGGTATGTATGCATGTATGTATGGATGTATGTATGTATGTATGTATGTATGTATGTATGCATGTATGCATGTATGGATGTAGGGATGCATGCATGTATGCACGTATGTATGTATGTATG